TAGTATAGCTCCAGCAGAGGTCCAGATTCCGGATGGACCAGGGGAGGATAGAGAGGAAGATGCGGTGACTGATACAGTAGGAGCAGTGTGCGTTGATCGATGGGGCCAAATTGCTGCGGGCAGCAGCTCTGGAGGAATTGGCATGAAGCATCGTGGCAGGGTAGGTCCTGCTGCTCTAGTGGGAGTGGGGACCTGGGTCAAAGTCATAGATGACGATATAGTAGTGGGAGTAACAGCTTCTGGTCTGATCCCGTATCTTCGTTAGCAGAGACTACATGCTAAGTTTTTATAGGTACTGGAGAGCATATGAACAACACTCTCATTGCATCGAGGTGTGTTGATCGACTTGCAAATGCTGATGATGATCTTCAAGCTCTGAAAGATTGCATTGAACAAGACTTCTTGGGTAACTTGACACTTGATATATTCCTGACAACAAGTCACTGATATAAATGTAGGCGCACCAGTAGTTAAATCTGCAATCACTGCTAGTGCATTGGGTGTACTCGCAGTAAAAATGGAGAAAAACTGGAAATAAATACAAAAGAATTCATTTCCTTTACGGGCATACAACAGACAGCATGGTAGGCACCTTTCCAGATACTAGAAGAACTAGAATCTCCTAACTGTAACTACAGGCGCTCGCCTCGATGGTCTCCTGGCAAGCTGAGCCCGAATTGATCATGTCACGGAACAAACGCACTCCTAAAGTTGCGCTGGGAGGAAAAGTACTTCCGTTTCGCCCTAGGTAATGATACAAAACTAGAACATCCAAGAGAAGGCATAGATCCCAAAAATGCAAAGCAAGATGCAAATAAACACGCTGAAAATAATACGCCAGCCCCATTTCACAGTCTCCAACATTGATGCAGTTAGAAGAAAGGATTATTGCTGCCTCCATCTCACAAGTTTATGCTTCTCCAGTTCCTCCAGCAGCAGTGTCGGCCTTTCTTTTCTTCTTTTTCTTCCGCACCACTAGAACTGCAGGCTTACCGCCATGACCAAGAGTAGATATGTCGAGTTTCGTTCCACAAGTTGTGCAAATTGCTCCATCTGGAGGTGAGCAGAAAACTGAGAAGGTTAAGAGTCAGCATACATAACGTAAGATTGCACGTTGAAATGTGGAGGGCTTACTTGACAAACAAATCGAACAAACAAAGCCAATATCGACTACACGCTTGTGGCAGAAACAAGCTGCACGGAAGTCAACGTTGACTTGAGTTGGAAGGACTAGATGCTTGCGAGATGTTTGGTCAGGGAGGAATCCCATCTGTTTTTTCGGAAAGAAGACATCGATTAGCTCCAAGGCGTTGCATCTGCTGGCGAGCGGATGGGTGAAGCGCAAGGCAGCTGGCTAAAAGTTGCCGCCTCAGGAGAGACAATCAAGAGAGAGGTTAGCCTCACCATTAAATACTGTAGAAGTCCTTGAGCATCCTTCAAATGCATGTATATGCCGTTGGTAGCATCAGAGGCTTGCTGTAAAAAAACGGTATCCCCAGCTATTTTACAAATGTCAACTGGGATTTTCTAAGTCAAGTAACCATTAGCCATGGTTGCACAGCATTGACTGCAGATATGAATTTGTACTAACCTTCCTCTGCGCTGCGAAAATACAATTCATGATTGGAATATACTGCGATGCCAAATCCCCACTAACACTGATTACCAAAATCCTCGCATTCATTGTCATCTCTATATCATCCTTCTTTTCCGCACCCGCGGCTGCGGCGGCTGCGGCGGCTACACCGCCACCGGCCTGCAAGCGCCCCGCCAGCGTCGTCTCCTCGATTGGCATACACAATTTGTGGATGTATGTCAGTGCCAGCGACAGCGCGCCCGCCATCATGGTCATATTCGTCCCTGCCAACGACTCCTCTGTTGTTTCAGCCAGTAGCGCTCGCAGGGCGGCAGTAACATGGTCCTCGACTATGCGGAACTGGCGATACTTATTCGCGTCACGCTCGGGGTCGGGGGGTGGCACACTCGTGGGGGGCGGATGGTGAGCACTGTCTCCAGTTCCAGCGGGGGATGTTCCGTGTCCAGGGGTACTTGAAGCTGTCGAGCCTCCATTACTGGTAACTCCCCCAGTTCCCCCTGCCGTAGCAGTAAGCCTATCCACCAGCGTCTTTGTCCCCTGTGCTGCGCCTCCTGCACCCGCAGCTACGGGATGCGGAGGGGGCGGGTACAACATGCGCGCGGTCTTTGTGTGGCTTGCGATGACGGCGACTTTGTTTGCGGAGGAGAAGGCGAGGTGGGCATTGATGAAGAGGAGGATGTTGGCGAGTGCCTGGGCAAGCGGGAGAGTGGCGCTCAGGGAGTCCCAAGCGTAGGGGTTCGTGTCTATGATGACGGTAAGAAGAGACGGAAGGACTTCGGCTGGTGGGAGAGGACAGAGAGGTTAGCAAGGTGGAGGCAGGAGATGGGGAGGGAGTTGGAAGGTACCTTCAATAGACTGGGTGTAATGCAATGAAGCATCTACGGCATTCATGGCTGGATCGTAGTAGAACTTAGGACTGGGACTTAGCCTTATGTCGTGTGGCTCTTCATGAATTTTGAAATCGAAGGACCTTGCACTCAAATAGCAGTTCGGTCTGGCAAAGATTGTTTCTGTTTCGATATTCCGACGTCCCCCGATGTCGAAGTCAAAATGTTGGAACAGTGACAAACTTCAAGTCCGAAGCCTCCAAAGCCTGCAACCCAATGTGCTTTTTTGCACCTTGTCCGCTGATCTCGTACCGGAGATTCTGGTCCGCAACTTAAATGCTTATATCAACGTCGATTCCAACTTGTTCTTTCTCTTCGCCTCTTTTCCTCTTTCGGCCTGTGTGATATGTCGTTAAAGTACTGTCGATGTTCGCAAGTAAGGTGTTTCCGTGGATTCGACTAAAGTAAGTCCAAGGCCGGTGCAGGGCAGAAAAAATTCCTTTTCTTAATTCATCCCCTTGATGCTTTAGTTTGTCGAAATGCCTTTTGGTCTTGTACAAACTCAAACTCGTAAAATCGTAATCGTAGTCGTGATCGTGGCCGTGATGGTGACTGCTATGTGGGTGAAGACGTTTGTTGCTGAGATTTTGTTATGGCGAATGCCGGAGCTAAGTATGTAGGTAAGTTCAGTTGTGCATACGGGGTATGTAATTGAGAGGTTGTTTCTAGGCGAGCATCAAATAAAGTGCAACCAGGTTACAAATAAAGTAGGACTCCGATAATGGGAACGAACTAGCTTGACGAATGAATGCGAGTAACATTGCTTGCGTATGGAGAAAATCATACGGATCTTGCCTGTCTTTCGGTTCTCGTTGCCATACACAGACATGGTCCTGAAAAGGCAAAGGCACAATGTACATAAATCTAGCTTGCTAGGGGCCTCAAGTCTATGAGACTAACTGCCCCCCGTATATGAGTCAACCTTGAAAGCTCAATTGCGAGCGAGGGGACTCAGATCACAAGAAAATTGGGACACTTGACTTCATTGACTCCAATGAAATTTCTGTAGATTCATTGCTCTGCTGCCAATCTTCCTCCCGCTCCCTAGCTGCACAACAGTCCTACATTGAAATAGCATTTGAACTAGAAAACATGACAGCCCCAACCACCGCCAGCAAAGACCACTGGGACTCGGAGACGTACTCTAAGAAGGTCGCCCCGTTTGCGCCTGCTCTGACGACAAAGGTGGTGGGGCTGCTTGATCCTAAGCCAGAGGGTGCGTTCATCTCATTTTCATGTATTCATATATGAATAGATGGCTCTTTGTTTCCAACTTACAAACCTATGAGGAAGAATTACAACTCTGTGTATCGTGCTTGTTACTTGTTCAGAAATGTTTGGTTGGCACATGCCGTAGACTAGTGCCACAATATACCCTTTTTAGGAAGCCATCGAGACTGCTGTGGAGAGGCATGAGGCTAATCGAGGCTGAATCTTCCCTCAAACTCTCGGAAGAAGCAACCAACTAACATCTCCCTCGAGCACACACAGACCACATCCTCGATCTCGGCTGTGGCGATGGCGTTCTCACTTCCCAAATCTCCCAACTCGTCTCCTCCATTGTCGGCATCGATGCCTCCCCAAACATGATCTCGAGCGCTCGCACTTCCTACTCGACTCCTAACACTACCTACCTTATCTTGGACGCCGCCTCCATCACCTCTCCCACCACCCAATCCCACCTCAAAACCCACCTGCCCACTTCCAACTCCAAGTTCACCAAAATCTTCTCCAACGCCGCCCTACACTGGATCCTGCGCCCTCTCGCCCCCTCCCGCGGCTCCTGCGACCTCAGCCCTCTTGTGACATTCTTCAGCAGCTGCTACGACCTCCTGGCACCTGGTGGCGTACTCGTTACCGAATCCGGCGCCCATGGAAACGTGGCGGAGGTGCACACTGCTCTCGTTTCTGCACTCATCCACCGTGGCGTCCCTCCTTCAGAAGCCCGCTCTACATCCCCCTGGTTTTTCCCTTCCACAACTCTCATGTCTACCGTTCTCACCCGCGCTGGTTTCATCGTCGAGACATGCGAGGCCGAATTTCGACCAACGGAGTTGCCGGGTGGAGATGTGCAGGGGTGGGTGAGGCTTTTTGGGCAGGCATTTTTGGACAAGATTGAGGGCTTTGTGAAGGAGAGAGAGGGCGGAGATGAGGAGAAGGGTAGGCAGGCCAGGGAAGATGTAGTGAGGGACGTCGCTGAGGCCATGGAGGGGGTCGGAAGGAGAGTGGAGGATGAGACGTTTGTGTTGGGGTATGTGAGACTTAGAATTAGGGCTCGGAAACCGGAGGGAGGTGTATAAACTTGTTCAATTCGTCAGAGACGTTCTTGAATGCACGTTGATTTGATTTAGACCAGTCAGCTCCTAAATACTATAGACATCCAGTGACTCTCGTGGTGGTCTCGTTTACGAACCGGCATACCACAGAACCCCTTAGCAAGTACTAATTGACCTGTAATATCAATGAATTACTGTAAAAATGGAAATCTCCCAATCATAAGGGGGAGCAAAATAACACGTCGAGAGTAGGGTTCGAACCTACGCGGCAAATGCCATACGCTATCTGAACCACTCGATTCAAGGCGTACCTGTTAACCTCTCCAGCATCTCGACTGTCTCCTTGATTGGCCGAATAGTGTCTTAGAGGAACAGTTTTCTGTAGCAACTGAAAATTTCTCGTTAGCAGACGAATTAGGAAGTACCAGTGGCAAAGGGCGACGGATAAGACGGCTTGCATGACGCAGATGGGAATTCGAGTACGAGATGAGAGCGAAGATGTGGTAAGGAAGAGGGCAGGAATTAGTTCCAGGTTGCGATATAAATATATCTACCCACGGGGAGTCAAATCCGGGGGGGGGGGGGGCGAGATAAACGTCATACCGGAATGGGAGGTGATCAGAAGGCTATGATTGCCTGGAAAGTGCAAGCAGTGATGGGATGGCTGAATAGGTACGAATTAGAGTTGAATTCGGAGCAGGGGAAGTTTGGAGATGCAGTCAAAGCTATGTAGTAAACATGTAGCCGATCTCTAGCCGTGAGCAATGAAAGGCATTTTCGCCTATGCCAACTGCAGCTGCGGGCATTGCTAATTAGAGCGGATATGAAGACACACACTTGGGGGGGGGGCAGGCGATCTTCATTGGCTTAATTGATTCGATGATAGGTGAGATAGATATCGACGTCGTTGATTATGCAACGATGCGGGGGGGGAGGGGGGGGAGGGGGGGGAGGGGGGGGGAGGGGGGGTTCTGTGTTTTTTGACCTTGACTGACTGGTCGACTATGTGGGGGATGTCGCCTGATCGACGGCGGGCCCTGTCCCTACAGCAGCCGTCATTTGTCCTCGTGTCGGCCGGCCAGCACAGAATCGATACGACCTGGGACGGGACGGAAGCAGATCCATTGTGGGCTTGGCGGCTTTAGTCAAGCAGCTTTATCCAGGTCCAGCGACACGCAGCGAAGCGAAGTGCGCATACATAACCTGAGTCTACTCTACTTGGGTACTTAACGACGCGGCGGCGGAGTGGGATTGGGATGGCAGCTGGGCCCCGTCAGCCCGCCGTTCCACAAAATGTTCCATCCGCTGTCGCTGAACCACCTCCACCTCCGCAGGTCCCAAGAACCAAAGTTTCTCGGCCATGCTAATGCGCGGGGTGGGGGGGGAGTGCATGCACGTGCACCCTCCAGAAGGATGGACGGCTTCAAGAAGGGCAAGGCCCGATGGAGGTGGAAAGTGAGGATCCGCTCCGTTAGTCAGGCTGGAGCGTGTCGCACCTGTGAAGAAAAACGGGCGCTCGCGGGCGGTGATGTGTGCGGCGCTGATAGGTCCACGCCGCCCGCTGGCCGCCCCCCCCCCCCCCCCCGGCCGTGTGTGCGTGGTTGCCGTGCAGCCCGCTGCTCGTACATGCGACGCTGCTGCATCCATCCTCGTCTCCCCTGAAGGGCCAGAGGCCAGGGCCCGGCGCCCCAGTGCGGTGCGCTGCTCTGCCGGGTCACGTCACAGCGATTGGTGCAGACCTTCGCTCGTGCTTGGCGGCCCAGTGTGCGTCCACTTACTATTCCTAGTACTTATATGCTATACAGCTGCCTGCCCAGGCGCTCTCGTCCATTGTCCACCTGTGCACCCCCCCCCCCCCCCTCCCATTTACAAAAGGCTAACTGCCGCTTCTGCTGCTCCCGCATCCTCATCGCACTTATTCATAACGACACCTTCACATTTCCAGCATTACGGCCCTCGAGTGCATAGCCGAGCCCACACCTATCCCCGCTGATTGTAACTGAAGGCAAGCTTCAGGCCGCAAAGAATCACGAGCCATTGACTTCGACAGCAGTTTACGACACACCACCCGCTCAATATCCCATACATACACAAAATGGTTTTTGGCGTGCTTTCCTGGCGAAACCGCTGGAGCCTGCGAGAGCGAGGCCTCCGCTCGTCAGGAAAAGATAGTGTACAGAGTGCCAGCATGGACATCGAACCAGTGCCATCAATCCCTGCCGGCCTCAGGCACCAGAACTCCCCCTACATGCACCCGTACGATGGACACGTTTCTACCTCCGACCACAAGCACAAACAGAAAATCAACAGACGCAAGTCAAAAGAACGAGTCAGCGGTTGGTGGGACAGCTCCGCCACGCGCCTGCCCATGTGGGAGAACTTGTGTGATGAGTTGCTATCCCCAAGCAAGCGACTTTCTCTGCGGCTTGATTTTGAGCCGGAGGTGCAGGCATATCCTATCAACCCTGTCCGTCCAACGACATCTCCCGGTCCAGATTCTTCAAAAAGCAGAAAGTCAAAGACCTCAAGCAAGAGGATATTAAAAAATATACCCACGGTAAATGGCGGATTTTGGAATCTCTGTATAAGGAGTATGCCGAGGATCAGGTTTGAAAAAAAGTTTGAGGAAACTGAGGTCTAGACCCTCGAGTCTGTCTGACGGGACCTTTGGGCGGGGGGTTGCCGGCACTATGAATTCATTGAATGAACGAACTGGCAATACATCAAGCTATATTCCCGGATATAACTGCATTCATTCCATGCATGAGGGCACTTTCTACAAGGCGGCAATTTATACTTGTTTGAATACCTGCATGGTGTTATTTTATTTATTTATTTATTTATTTATATACTTATCTATTTTTCATTTTTAGCTGCTTTGATAGCTTTCTCCTTCTCTACTTGTTTTAATGGGATGGTTGGTTGATGTCAAGGGCTATGATTGGGTACGAGAACTGCTTGGTATGCAATGCGACGGATATGACTGGCATGACGGATATGACGGATTACGAACACGTTTGAATGACCATGATGACAGAATTGGTAGAAATGGACTTGGTAGGAGGTATGAAAGAGGGGGATTGCGAGCTCTTATCAGCTACGCCGGCTAATAGCGAGCTTGGCCACGTTTATCTTATGATCAACTCTCATTTGTCTTCATTTCCAGGGTGTATTTGCTTCTGTACATCTATGTAATTTACCGTTCATTAGTTCTTCAAGCTTTGGTTGCATTTTTTTCACCAGCTCTGGTGGCTCTTCGATAGCTTCCTGTATATACTTCTTCCAATACCATGATCATTTCCAATTGCAGTCCACCGATGCAGGGACTGCTGCTCGTGCATTGCGTACCTGTAGAGCGCATGCATAGGGGGCTGTTTCGAGTGCATAGGGCCGGTGCCAAGCCTCGAAGCGAGGAATGCAGCAGGTAAACTTTTTCACGGTACCGCAGAGCCGCAAAGCTTAGTTGCAACTCGTGTCAATCTCCTCAGCAGCAATTGTATCAAGTGCAGCTGACAGCTGGACCTGCTCTTGCGCCGTGCCAGCTCTACAACAGCAATTGACATAGAGGGGCGTTTATACATACATCACGCGCACATAATTCGCGAAGTTCGACGTTCGAGGCCAGCTCCGGTCCTCCACCCGCTGGTGCCCCACCAGCAGCCCCACCCCCCCACCATGACCACTGCCAGCGTCACCCCCCTTCCCCCTCCCATCCGCTTCACTACACACCATCATCTCCGCCACCGTCTCGTTCTAGCGACCCTCGTCGGCCGCCCTCTCCACATCTCTCAAATCCGCTCAAACTCGCCCAAGCCCGGCCTCACGCCCTACGAATTCTCGTTCCTGCGTCTCCTCGACTCGCTGACAAACGGGTCCCTCTTTGAGATCTCCGTGACCGGTACTGCGCTCCTGTACCGCCCAGGCTTAATAACGGGAAACAATGGGAAGCTACTACGACATACATTACCGGAGGGTTGCACCCGTGGTGTAACATATTTCCTTGAACCGCTCTGCACCCTCGCACCGTTCAGTAAGGCGCCCTTCAGCGTGCTACTTGATGGCGGCGTCATCACCGCAGCAACGGAGGAGGATTACTCGGTCGATACATTCCGGACAGCGCTTCTACCGCTGCTAGCAAATTTCGACATTGGCCGCAATATAGAGGTGAGGATAAATAAGCGGTCGAGCGGGGGTAAGGGGTCGGATGGTAAATTTTCGCCGGGGGCAGGAGAGGTCCACTTTACGTTTGGGCACCAAGTGAGGTTGCCGAAGACACTGCATTTGGTGAATCCGGGGAGGGTGAAGAGGATTAGAGGGGTTGCGTATGTTACAGGGGTCAGTGTGGGGAATAATATGAGGATGATTGAGGCGGCGAGGGGTATGTGTCTATCTTTCCAGATATCGCTGATTTGTCACTTTTTTTTGGTGGTAACCTAACGCCGTGGTCATAGGTCTACTAAACCACTATATTAACGACATCCTCATCCACGCAGACTCCTCCGCCGCCCACCTCGTCCCCACCACCTACGGCTCTGGCAGCCCCAATGCCTCTAACCCGTCTGGCGCGAAAAAGAAAGTCGGCGTTGGCTACGGCCTCTCGCTGATGGCCGAGACGTCCACCTCTTGCATTTACTCCGCCGACGTCGCCGCTCTGCCCGGCGAAGCTCCTGAGGACGTTGGGCTCCGTGCAGCACAAATGCTTTTACATGAAATTAGTTTAGGCGGCTGTGTTGGGCGCGTGGGAATGAATCTGATGATGACGATGATGGGCATGGGGATGGAAGGGGATGTGGGGAGAGTCGTGATTGGAAGGGAGGTGATCAATGAGGATGTGGTGCAGGGATGGAGAGATATGAAGACGATTATGGGTGGCGGAGAGGTCGTGTTGAGGGAGTGGGAAGGGGTGGATGGAGTAGCGAAGGGCACGGGAAGGGCGAGGGGGAAGGAGTCGTGGTGGGGGTGGTAGGGAGGGGAGTGGGCAATGTGGGGAGAAAAGTGGCATAGAGGGTTGTGCTGGAGCGAGTTGGATTGGGGGGAGGTGGACACTCGGAACGGGAGTGTCTATGGGTGGGTGGTGTGTGTGTGTGTGTGTGTGTGTGTAATATATAGTATGTTAGTCCTGATATGGATCATCATTTCTGTTAAAATGAACCACGTTTGCATTTCCTGTTAGAAGTTGTAAAACCTGCGTTTATGGGACCTTGAAATCTAAATGCATAACGAGTATTTTATATATACATCCTTCATAAATAAAAGGTGAAGAAGAAAAAAGGAATTTCCGACTTGACACGCAGGACGTACCTTTTTTTTGGATAACGATAGTACTCTTTTTTCCA